GAGGGAGGACTGGGGGACTTAATTACCGTCTTCAAGGAAGAAAAAGACGAAACTCATGAGCCTGAGCCCGAAGAGAAGACTTGGCGTATCCATACTCTTCCGAGATGGTGATCATTGCAACAAATTAAAGGTGGATGATTTCACTCCTTGATTCATCTTGGGAGCGTCAGGTGTACTATTTTTTCCTTGATTAATAAGGATTTTTTCCTAATAATGAAGGTTTTTAATGATGCACCTCCCTAACATAGACAATGGCGGAGATCTTCTAGTCTCAAAAAAGGGAAGCCGACTAAGACTACTCCCTCTTAGTTGAGTCTACTACTCGACTAAGACAGCGAGGGACTCATGATGGGGTTATTGGACTATAGGCTCATAGCCTAATCAGCCCACGTCTCGAACTTGGACATGTGAGTCCAAATCCAAAACATGAGCCAGCAGACCCAAGCCCAAGTTTGAAGCCTATTTACTAGCTCGGTGGAGAGGGAGCTCAAGCGTCAGGCCTTCAAGCTAGGCTTACCTACCACCAGGAAGAATAACTGCCAAACAATTAATGCGTTATTTAGTTATGTATTTAATTTCGTATTAATGTTGTAATTAATTGGTCGTTATCATTGATTGCAGTTACCATTTATAAACGTCTATAAAAGCACATCAAATTCCAAATGATGGACAAACTATTTTTGGCAACTAAACCTCTTCAACACTTTTCATTTTCATATTACCTTTCTAGTTCATGTTTGAGTGTTTTATCATACTACCTCATTTTCAAAAAACTTTGTCATTTTCAAAACTACAACCAACTATATCTTTTTATTTGAAATTATTTACAATATAAAAATTTTATGAAAATGTTACTCCCTCTATCCCTGAAAATCCTTCCCAGTTTGACTTGGCATGCATATTAAGAAAGTGGAATAAAGTGGAAATGTATGGTTGTGGTTGTGTAAGAAAAAGGTGAAATGAATGTGAACCACACAAATTGTCCAAAAATGGTAAGTGAGAAGAATTTTTTGGAACCGTCCAAAAATGATAGTGAGAAGGATTTTCAGGGAAGAAGTATTTGTTAAAAGTACTTTCTAAGTACAAAACTCAAAACTTTGATAATATTATACTAATAAAATCAGGTTTCAATTTTTTTTGAAATAACAAGTTTTTTGACATTGCAAGTACAGCTGGCCTCACGTAGAAGACCAAGCTAGCTCAGCTAGCACCCACAATAATGCCACATGGCAATTGCATGCATGTAGTAAACACCGCTACTTTCTCCATAATGAAACTAACGCAATGCATTATGCATTCATTAATTTCTTAATCAGTCACTACTCACCACCGTACACCGCTCACTAAAAATGTCTACCTCCGTCACCGCCGCCGCTTTCCACCTCCCCCTCATCGTCCTATTCATCCTCTCGCTTCAAGGTCATAGTTACCATGACCTTGAAGCCATACGAACGGCCCGTTCCGGTATTTTAAGTGCCGCAGAATGGGCGCACAGTTTTAACAATGAGCTTCATCAAGAATCTCCGGCCACCGGCAATGTCTCTACTGCCGTGAGCGACTGCGTCAAGCTGTACGAAAGCGCCGAGGAACGGCTTGGCCGGGTGGAAGTCTGGGCGGGGGAGAACTACGTTGACCGTAACGACGCGGTCACCTGGCTTAGTGCAGCCATGTCGAGCCACCGGAGCTGTGTGGATGGTTTGGAGGAGAAGGGATTGGCGGCGAACCCTCATTATTTATCGTCCCGGAACGTGACCCTGTCGCTTAAGCAAGCTTTGGCTAGATATGCGCTTAAACGAAACACAAAAGCAACTACACCAGGTGGCAATTAGTTGATTACCTAGTGTATTCACGGGCGGACCGTAGTGCAAGGGGGCGGTCTGTGCTATTTTTCGGTGTATATATATATGAAAAATAATTTTTTTCCTCTCAAAAAATATTTTGAAACCCACAAAAAATATTTTAGCCCGGCCCTCCAAGATGTACTTTTCTGGATCCGCCCCTGACTGTATTACTCCATCCGTCCCAATTTGTAAGATACTTTACGATTTAAGATATTTGATCGACGATAAAGCAAATTGATCCCTGTCAACACTCAAATTAGTATTAGAAAATAAAATTTACATATTCAGAAACTAAATTAAAACCGCTACAAAACCTGCAAAAAATAATTCTAGCTAATTTCATAAACTTTTGATATATAAAGTAAAAGATTAAGAGTGATTTATATTGACCAAATGAATAATAAATGTATCTTATAATTTGAGACGGATGGAGTGCTACATATTATTACTCGATATTAATTTATTAGGGAAATTGAATAAACCCATCCTACTACTTATACAAAATTGTATTTACAGAAGTAAATTTCTCTTTCATTTTAATTCCATTTCAAGTTGTTTTGAACCGTTCACAAGTAAAATAGGACCAAAACATATATGAACAAAGTGCATCAATAAAAGTGGTTAAATTCTATTCTCAAACATATATAGATACACAAAGTGCACTAGTAAAAATTGTTAAAGTTGCACACGGTAGTATTGATTATATGAAATTTTCCTAAAAAAATGAAAAACTGAAAATAAATTTTACATTATCCAAGAAGCTTCCAAGCAAATTTTGTATTAGAACTTTTAGTTTTTATATTACACTATTATTTTCTGTATCTCCTTTATTCAAGAACTTTGAATACTTACACTTTCAAATTCAAAATTGTGATAGTTTGACTTGAAATGCTTGAAAGTCATGAATGGACAGTACGTGGTCAGAGATGAATGGACACCATGTGGTCTGAGGATATATTTTCAAAACAATCTTATAATTTGTACTACCTCTGTTCCACTAAGATTTGGGACGAGAAAGGGTGACACGATTATTAAGAAAAATGAGTTCGTGTGATTGATATTAAATTGATAAAGTAAAAATAAAGTAAGAATGATTTAGAGTCACACAATCTTTACCAAATTTGGTATGAGACAATCAGGGACGGAGCTAGAGGGGTGGCCAACCGGGCCACGACCCGCCTCAAATTTGAAAATTCTTTGTATTTTTATCTAAAAATTTATGTGAAAAAAAATTATCAGAAAAATTCTTTGTACTGGCTCATCCCAACTTTCAATCCTAGCTACGCTCCTGGAGACAATCTTAGTGGGACTTCCCAAAAAGGTAAAATGGGACAATCTTAGTGGGACGAAGGAAGTAATATTTATAAATACTCTCTTTGTCTCACAAAACTTGGCCAAAGTTGACTTGCACATAGATTAATAAAGTAAAAACCGTGTCGTTGAAATTTGTGCAGATGAGAGACAAATAACTTTAGCCACACATTCCTTACTTTAAAAGGAATTACTCTCTCCGTCCCGAAAAGGTTCGTCAAATTGACTTTTCTTGGTCAATGAGAATCAACTTTGACCAATGATATTTTTTTAGTATGTAATTTTTTTGAAATGTTCCTTGTCAAAATATGTTCATAAAAGTATAAAATTTATAAATTATATACAAATATAATAATTAAAATCATTGTCCGAAGTTTGTCATCATTGATCAAGAAAAGTTAATATGAGAAACCTTTTCAGGACTGATCAGGTAGTACTTTACAGCTAAATGACAAAGTTTTTTGAGACAACAAAAAAAAATTGCCCAAGTTTTATGGGACGGAATATACCCCCATAATATTTATTATTTATAAATACACCCCATAACTTTTAATATTTTTAAATATACTCCTGTATCTGTATATATCCTACTTTTTTTCCGCGTACCCTCGTACCCGTTTCCGCATTTCCGCGTACCCATATCGCTCCTACATATAGGTTTTGATCGATAAATAAATAGAGCTTCTAAATTAAGCTGTGTAGAATGAAAAGTTTTAAACGCCGTGTAGAAGTAAACAGTGATTGAGGCAGTATATTTATTAATTTACTATTGTTTTTTCGTTTTAAATGTATTTAATGTTTTGCTTTCATTTTTTTTTTAAATTAAAACCGGAGATATATGCCAACCTTTTCAAAGTGTCAAGATAATGTAACGAAAAATAGACGGAGGGGGTCTTAAGATTTTCGATACAAAGTGACAATTGTTGTTTACTTGTTTAATTTATTTGTAAATCAATTTTTCACTTGTCACGGAATTAGTCACGGATACGTCCGTGACTAATTTCAAATTAAAAAAAACTCCCGCCGGAGACGAAAATGGGTTGGCCGGAACACTTTAGTCACGGACTAGGTCCGTGACTACCTATAGTCACGGACGTAGTCACGGCGAAATCCGTGACTAATTTTTTTATATACGTTCCGTGACTATACCGTGATTAGAATCGTGACTAACTAGTCACGGATTTGGTCCGTGACTACGAGCGAATTTTTTTGTAGTGTACAAAACATTCAATTCACCTCATATTTTTTATGCATAATGTATAAACAAAAATGATGCCGTCTGGTATCCATCATTTAAAGTTTTTAATTGTTATTATAGAACATATATTGGAGTAGTTGAGTATGTCTTTTTATTTTGGTTCAACTTTTATGCACCAAATTAAACCAATGTTTGCTTTTATATGTAAAAATCACCTGGGCAGCAGTGGTGCGCAAGAAGGCAGGCAGTTCAAGCGAGTATTGGGGGCTCATGAAATCGTGGAACTCAGCGTCCTCCAAGGCCGACATTGTGGTCGCCCAAGATGGATCTGGCACTTACAACACAATTAATCAGGCAGTCGATGCACTGTCCGGAATGGGTAACACCGGGGACAAAAGGGTGGTTGTGTATGTCAAACGCGGAGTTTATAACGAGAATGTTGAGATCTGTAGGGGAATGAAGAACGTAATGTTCGTTGGCGATGGGACCGACAAGAGCGTAGTTACCGGGAATCGGAACATCCAAGACGGTGCTACCACCATAGGCTCTGCTACATTCCGTGAGTCTAAAACTTAATATGTTGGTCTTATTTTTATATTTAATCGCGATGACATAACGACGAAAATTTGAAAGCTATATAATTGAGATGACCCAACCAAACTAGCATAGTGACCAAAACATTAACCATAGAGATTTTCTTATAAAAAGTTAATTCGATAGGAGTAGTACTACTATTAATGTTACTACGTATTTTATACCAAGCTCATCTTGGATTAATACTTCAACATGTCCACTAATGTAAACCGTGCTAGATAACTTGATATGCGGGGATAAAGAGGCCGATTGAATTGGGAATTGAAACGTAAATGGGGGGTGCCAGGAGATAGACAAACAGTTAGGTTTAAACTCCGATTGGTCGACCGTTTGTTTAGGTCATCTTGATAATATTAGGAGTAACTCATCATTTGATATACGATTTGATATAGAAAAAACAGCCTCAATATTACTAATCACCCTTCATCGCAGCCCTCCTTCATTTCTCCTCGCAGCTCTCATATCCAACCTTTTGTATTCCTCCATCGCATATCCGATCTCCTTCATTTCTCCTCGCAGCTCTCATCTCCAACCTTGCGCAGCCCTCCTCCATTTCTCCTTCTACGCGTCTGAGCCTCTCAGATAGGCCTGCACCTCTCTTCACATCTTCACCGCCGCTTGGAATGTAGAATCCAGCGACGCAGACAATCTGGCTGCCTGCGTCATTAATCTCCATCGTTGGGAAGGGAGATCCTTCTGGCGACGACGTTGCCTCGCCGTTCTCCTTCGCGCGACGTTGCCTTGTCGTCGTCCTTCATCGGCGAGGTTTGCGATGCTCTCACAGCGGACCACCGGCGCAGAGGAGTTGCGACCAGCGACGAGAAGCTCGGAGCAAGGCGGACATCCATCGCTCACCTCCTATGTCTTCTTCTTCTCCTTTATTCTGTTCAGAATCCACATATCTGAGGTGTTTGGGTCCGGTTTGGGTTAGATCTGGGGTGGGGGAGCTGGCGGGCAAGTTTGGGACTGGGTAGGTGGCAGGGGGATCAGAGGGGGTTTGGGATCTGGTTGTTTGGGTCCAGTTAGGCTACATCTGGGGTGGGGGAGCTGGCGGTCGGGCTGGGGTGGTGGCAGCCTGACAGGGGGATCAGAGGAGGTTGGGGAGGTGGCTGGGCAGGTGGTCGGGTCTGGGGCGGTGGTCAGTGACGACGCTAGGGCGGGGTAGGTTGGGGACGGGGCTCTGTGGTCTGTGAAGAGCAGGGGAGGAATAGGGGGGATGGAGTTGGGGACACCGGAGATAGCGGGTCAATGGCCAGAGACGCGTTGTGTCACTGGCCGGAGATGCGACGTGTCACTGTTCGAAAACGTGGCGTGTCACTGTGGCCGGTGGGCGGGCAACCACTATTGTCCGGTGTGGTGCGCGGTGGGCGGACAGTTACTCTGACTGGCGGGCATTGAAAGAGTAGTCAATGTGGCCGGTGGACAGTCACTCCGGGCGGTGAGGCAGTCACTGTGGCGACAGAGTCACTGGGGTGGCGGGCAGTCACTATGACTGGTGTGCGGGTGGCCGGAGTGACTAACCGGTTGGGCAGTCACTGTGACCGGTGGGGCAGTCACTTTGGTCGCGACGGCAGTGGCGGTGGTGCCGGCGGCGGCGGCGGTCAGCGGTCATAGGACTACTAATTAAATATATAAAATAAATATTAAAATGATTAAATACAAAGAATACAAAGAATATGACTTTTAGTCACATTTTTGGAAAAATTTAAAACAAGTCACAAATCGGTCTTTTTCATTCATTTTAGTAATATTAGAATAAAAGGCCTTTGATATACACCTAACTTGTGTATTCAACATTTTGATGTATAGGGGTATTGGGTGATGGGTTTTGGGCACGGGACATGACGTTCGAAAACACGGCCGGGCCACACAAACACCAAGCGGTGGCATTGGCGGTCGCCTCAGATCACGCTCTCTTCTATAGATGCAGCATGAAGGGCTACCAAGACACTCTCATGGTCCATTCCTTGAGACAATTTTATCGCGATTGCCACATCTACGGCACGATTGACTTCATATTTGGGGATGCTTCGGCCGTGCTTCAAAACTGTGACATTTTCGTCACACGGCCCATGGATCATCAATCCAACTTGATAACGGCCCAGGGTAGGGATGACCTGAATGAGAACACGGGGATATCTATCATGAACTCGAGGGTGAGGCCAACGGCGGAGTTGGACGGTGTGAAAGGCAGGGTAAAGAGTTACTTGGGGAGGCCTGGGAAGAAGTATTCAAGGACAGTGTTCATAAAGAGTGACCTTGATGGGATTATTGATCCAAAGGGCTGGATGGAGTGGAATGGGAATTATGCACTCTCAACATTGTATTATGGTGAGTACATGAATACAGGGGCTGGGGCGTCCACGGATAAAAGGGTTAATTGGGCGGGCTTTCATGTGATCAAGGCGGCCCAAGAAGCAAGCCCATTTTATGTGAAGAATTTTATCCAAGGGGATTCTTGGATCCCAGAAAGTGGAGTGCCGTTTGGTTCCGAAATATGAAGACCTGGGGAGAAAGTATATATTTAGCTAGTTTTCTTACCCTTCTAAGATCGATATACCTTCCCGGTGACATATAACACTATCTTGATGCTTTGTACATCATCATCATATTGGTATATTCCGCACATTAGCTAATCTAATAATCTAATAATAATAATTTGTACATTGTATAATACTCCGTATGACATTCTGATACTCCAGTTACCAGGTAGATCTTTTGACCTTTTAGTATAAAATTTCATGTGTTATCATAAATTCATAATCGTGGTGTTTGGCAATTGATCGTCAGCTGTTGTGCAATTGTTTTAGTTGATTGATTAAATAGGAGCACATTCAATTAACGATTTTGATGAGCTGATAGTTTTAACGGTTTATAAAATAATGTTTGATTAAATGGTCGTTTAGACGTTTACAATTAGCTGCTAATTTATTAAATGATTTTAAGGACATCATGCATGTTTTTAAATTAATTTATATGCATACGTTTTTTAATAATTTTATCAGTACAACACTACAACTAGCTACGTCATTTTTATTTACTAGTATTCTCACATAATCCCATTGAACTTGAATTTACACTTCATATACTTTGTACATTATAAAAATAAGATATGAATCTTGCTTATGTGTCTAATTCTAAGTCATGAGATAACTTGGTATTATTAATTGGTAAGTTGCTTTAATATTTTTTTAATTTTTAATATATAATTTTATAAAATCTAATGATTTACGATATCATTCAAAAAACATTTAGTGATTTGATTTAAAACATGAGTTTAACCATCTTGGTTGGATCACCCTCAAGACAACATCAATCCTATACCATCTTTTGTACCCTATTTTATAAATCAAACAGGTCTGGAATTGAAACATGTTTGAACCAATTACATGAACCAATTCAATTCTAAGCAATTTAGTACTGGTCTGAGCAATTTAACCACTTACCTCATCTTCAATTTTTTATCTGAGTTCATCCGTAATACTAAGGTGTACTCACTATATCCTAGATGAAGGTTCTCACTTACCTCTTTTAATCATCTCATTTAATTTAAATCTTCACACTTCTACTTTAGCAAATAATCAACACTCTTAAGTGGCAACAAAGTCACATCATAAAAAATACACTCGTAATAACACAATTATCATCAATTCTCTCATTATATTATAGCTCAATTGAAACTAATTCTCAAAATATACTCCAATTATCGTACTTAATTATTGTCTAAAAAACTTTGCCATTTTTAATGAGAAACTTAGGGAGTGTTTGCATTCAAATAAATGTGTTTAGGCTTTTAGCTTAAAAAACTGAATTGAGTGAACTAGTATTTCACATGTGCGTTGCACGGGATGTAATATGCAGATATTATAAATATTAAAATATAAATAGATTTAAATCATATTATTTCCATTAAATTTTATTAGTCCGGGGCCTAATGATATATGAATCATCAATATGAGACTTGAAAGATAATGTGTCCGTGTAGGACCTAAGTTGTCATAAATTTTATTATTTTTACTTCTAAATTTTTAAATATTATTCAACTTATCTAACTAAGAAACTTTTGTGAAGAAAAAATAATCAAAACTAGCAAAGGAATTAATAAACAATATTAACTAAATAGAAACCTGTGAAATTTTAGGTAATAAAAAATATTAACTAAATCAAAATTTTAGGAATTAATAAAAAATATTAACTAAAGGAAGAGCACGTTTGTCTCATTGTTAGTGGGACGGAGGAAGTAATAATTATCCATTTTTAGTAGTTTTGTGTGTTTCTGAAAGTACACTGTACACCGAAGTCCGAAGCGAGACACATTCTTACTATTACTCCTATTCTCGTACCTTACATCATTCTTACTATTACTCATATTCTCGTACCTTACATCTGTCCATGTACTCCGTTGTACAAAGCAAATGCCAAGTCAACTAAAAATCCATTAAATACTACTCCGATTATGTTTTGGGTGTGAAGACATTAAAAGCATGACTAATAATTAATAATTATACTCTAGAAAATCCACATTGTTTAAGAAATGTCAACATATATCCATGTAGAGTATTTGCTATGAAATGTCAACAAAATAAAGAGACTTCAATTACAATCTAATAAGTGTAACTTGTGAGTTCCAATTGTTCAATTGTTTCTAGTAAAACAAAAAAATTTCTCTACAATAACTTCTTGCAAGGGAATAGGTGATCTTTCTTAATCAATGGTAAGACCCTTAAATTTCGATACATTTCCTTCTTTTTAATACTTGGTCACATTATTGTTCCTCCAACCTTCAATGACCATTTCATTATGCCCCTGTATTTCATGGGGTGGGGGATTCAAATAAACTTTTTATTAGATTGAAAAGTAATAACATAAACAGATTGTTTCACAATAGTGTCATTCTCCGTTTCAATCTTTTGACATTACCTTTTGACATTAACGTATTCCGAATATATGATATTATCATTCATTAGACAAAAGTTAGGAATTAAACATGTTTTAAGGTCCCGATTGACATCCCAAAATCAAGAAAAAATAGAATGATTATGTATACATACTATGTAGTGATATTTGTCAGATGAAACTTCAGGTAGTTGAAATGAATATAAGAAAAAGCCTTATTTGACATCCCAAAATCAAGGAAAAATAGAAAGTTCTAATGTTTCATATAAGAAATGAATATATGAAACTTAAGGAGACCGTAACGGGACTGGTGAGAAACATTATTTGCAAAAGGAATTGCTATCTTTTAAAAAGTGACATTATATATGTTTGAGAGAGAACTAATTTTCTTTATTTATGCTATTAATACATAAAGAGCTTATTGATTTAAAAAAAAAATAAGGGCAGTAACACTTTAATTCCAAGCTTTTAGAATATAAAAAATATTTGGGAAAAAATAGAAATTAAATTCACAAATAAATTCAACAAATAAGAAAGCCTTTTAAAATAACATAACAACCATCAACTTACTGAAGCAAGAGTCTAAGGAAGGATGAACACGGTGGCAAGCCAGGCAATCCCTTTTCATATTAAAATCAAATGGGCAGATACAAACACCATTCAAAACTACTAATGAAACACACAGAACTTTTGATAAATTCAGTTTTTGAAGATTACCAGCTGTGTCTTTAAGCAAGCATTAATGTTATGATATACTTCTGATGATGGTTCAAATCTATGAACCTACTAACATAAAAAGTGTTGGTGCAAGTGTGTGACAATTTTTATTTAAATCAAACACTTAAAAACTAAAAGCTTAAAGAAGGTGCAAGTGTGATTTCAACTGTTGTTCACTTTTTCTATTACACAAAATAGTAATACCAATTTTTATTTCTTTAAAGATTTTTTTTCTCAAACACTGCCAACAATTACTATTAAGCACTTTGTCTAAAATTAAATTTAAAAAATACTTTCTAATGTTGAAACACACCCTTAAGATGGGACGACGGTAGTAAAATTTGTTTAAAATAATGTTTATTCACCGTAACTTTAGCAGTTTCTCCCTCTCCAATGATGGTCCAACAACTGCAGGCAGGAGGGAAAAAGGAAGGAAAATTTTAGAATTGAATTCCAATCCTAAACACAAATCGGGAGAGCAGAGAGTGTTACCTCCTGACTTGTTTTCAGTTCAATAATATAGAACCTTTTTTCATCAGTATCCCTTGAATCACAACAATCTATTTTGGCCCCCAGCGAACCACAGTGCATAACAAATTCAAATAAAAAACGATGTTTGTACACACTCTTATACACACTTTTGTACACACCTATGTCTGTGAAAGCTTTTTTGTGTGTGTGAATATCGATTCATAGACAATGTTTTGCACAAACAAAATATTGTCTGTGAACCGGATTCACAGACAAAAAAAAACTTCACAAACATGGTGTGTATAAGGTGTGTACAATGGTGTGTACATCAAGCATGGTTGAATTCAAATTCCCTAGGATCACTTCAAGAATAGAAGATGGAAACTGGAAATGACTAAATGAGAATGTAAGAAACAGTCATTACATGAATCTATATACACTTAGTGATTGCATGATGTTAACTACTTTTGTGAGAATAATGGGAAAGATTACTCCTTAAGGAGCCCTGACAAATATATTTATATTAAAGAGAGTTTAATGTAAAGTACAATACTAAGTCTCTAATAATTCTATTACACCCCCTCAAGCTGTGCGGGAGATACAACGTGCAGGTTGTCTTTTAAAAAATGAAAACGTTGACTAGAGAGACTTTTTGTAAAAATATCTGCCAGCTATAGATGAGTAGGAACATGCTTAACAATCAGATCTCCATGAGCAACCCGTTCACGAACAAAATGATAGTCAATCTGAATATGTTTAGTGCGAGCATGCTGAACAGGATTTGTAGTCAAATAAGAAGCATAGATATTATCACACAATAACTGTACCGGCTCCGTGATTGGTCATCCAAGTTCGAACAGTACCGACCAGATATGCAGTGTGTCTTGTACTGTGTAAGCAATGGCATGATATTCTGCTTCTGTGGAGGACGTCGACACGGTAGGCTGCTTCTTAGTCTTCCAAGAAACAAAATTAGGGCCCAAAAAAACTGCAAAACCTGTGGTGGACCGAGAACTATCAGGACAACCTGCCCAATCAGCATCGGAGTAAGCAACTACACAGGTTGGCCGATTAGACTGCTAAAGCCATAGTCCATGATCTCGTGTTCCCTGCAAGTACCTGAAAATTCTTTTGACTGCAAAAAGATGAGTTGTACGAGGAGCATGCATGAACTGAGACACTAAGTGTACTGCATAAGTAATATCTGGCCGTGTCAAAGTTAAATATTGTAATGCACCAACCATGATGCGATACTCAGTAGAATCAGACAATAACTCACCATCAGAAACAGACAGAGTGGTACGGGAAGCTAACGGGGTGCGAACAGGCTTTACAGTATGGAGATGAAAACGGGCTAGAAGATCAGTAACATATTTATGTTGAGAGAGAAACATACCCTTAGCTGAACGAATAGCCTCGACATCCAGAAAATAATGAAGATTACCCAAGTCTTTCATAGCAAAATGATTAGAGATAATCGAAATAAAGTGGGTAACAGATGACTCAGAATTGCGAGTAATAATAATATCATCCACATATAACAATAAATAAATAATAGTATTATTCTGGCGGTAAATGAACAAAGAATTGTCAGATTTACTACAGGAAAAATTATGTTGCAAAAGGAAGCTAAATCGATGAAACCAGGAGCCCCGTGGAGCTTGCTTAAGGCCATAAATGGCCTTGCGCAGACGACATATATGATTAGGAAATTG